GAACCGAACCGAACCGAAAAAGTTTCGAACCGAACCGAACCGAACCGCTCTACTTTTTCAAAAACTCGAACCGAACCGATTTCGAGTCGGTTCGGTTCGGTTCGGTTCGGTTCGGTTCGAAACCGAACCGGTCCCATCTCTGATAAATTATTAAATCAAACGAGTCAAGCTTTTCTGAATATAAATAGAGAGGATGACTAGATTTCAAAAAGGACTCGGAAACAAGTAGTAACAGATATATGAAACAACGTGGTTGAGTAAATCATAAGTGCATATACTCCATGTAACCCGTTGTTCCACTATCATGCAATTATTGCCATTATAATGCATTATTTTCCATTATAATGCAACACCTAGCTACATGAGTAACAGCAGGGATTTTTTCATACAGGTTTTGTCAAGATTTTGATGATGCATCTTGTCAAGAAACAATCAATGTTTTGAGACTTGTCTGTGTTAAGATATTAACAAAATATCATTCAGTTATAAGAAATTTTTTTAGAAATTTCTGAGTGCAAAAATCTCTTCGTTTTAGATATGTAGAACTGTCATCTTGATAAGTTTATTTTTTTATTACTAACTACATAAATCGGCTAGTTAATAAATACAGCTACCTATATATTGAATTAATTATCGATTTAGAACACTGTGTTAGACTATAAAATATTTGATCGTTAAAGTATTTTCATCAAATTAAATATTTAATTTATACATTTAAATTATTTTCAAATATTGTTTAGAATAAAATAATGTATAAATTCTTACGATAAAGAATTAACATTAATGTTTCATATATTATCAAAGAAGATTAATTGCGAGCAGACTAAAATCTTTAAAATCTTTTTCTTTTCTATTGTGATTATACGAATGACGATGCAGATTTCTGTCCTTATAGAGGATCTTGCGGTTGAATAGAACTAATATGATCGTGCTGACATAGATATTTTTCTGCATATATAATGACAAAATACGAAGAAAAATAAAAACATTAAAGTGATGTATACCTGTGACATTCATAGATCGAGCAATGATTGAATCTCTTCAATTTATTCTTATAATAAAAATTGTCTTGTTTATTGTCATCATTCTCCTGGCTTGTATTTATTCAATTCCAATTATTTTTCTGCGACGTTTTCGTACTTCTATTAATATATTAACTGTTAATGTTTGTAT